CACTATGTTAGGTGTTGTTGCTGTGGCCTCTATAGCAAATACACTAGAGACAAAAATTTTGTAATCATTATCTGGATTTAATAATTAGTGAGTTTCTTGCCTTCTTTGGTTTAATTAACTTCCATTAAGCTTGGATACTGAAATTGTTGATGAATGTCCATCAAATCCTGACTCAACAAGCGGTGTAAACATTCAGCAAGTGCCAGTGGGTGCAAATTTTGTTCACATGAAGGAATTCAATGACAAACCTCTGCTTTTTACACACCCACCTATCAGATGTCATTTTACCAGTCTGCCACTCAGTCGCTATCTATAATAAAGAAATTTTTTTTAAAAAACATTCAACATTCAACCTCACTTCTACATTACCAACATCCGTCACTGATGTCATGGGACAATATAATCATCTAAGAGGGATTACTTCCAGAGCAACCCTAATATGCCTGCCTGGCTATGTGCATGTATTCTATATATAATTATACAGATGCACATGGAGTTCCTTAAAGAAGTGAGTATACAGGAAAATTAATAATGCTACAAGCAATAATTTTCATACTAGTGGTAATGGTTGATTTTAATAAATATAATTAAATCAAACATTAAGCTATCAAAAGAATATCCATGTTGTCTCTTCATTAAATTTATGCCTTTTGTTCAAAGTTCCATTACTGAACTGTTTTGTTTTTTGTTTTTGTTTTTTTTTTCTTTACATATTTGCCTGAAGAATCATTAACAGCTTAGTTTGCAATGTTTTAAGTTTTCTTATTTTGATTGCGGCTGTTCAGCATTTAATGTTAGCCAGTCCAGAAAGATGGAAGAATTTAAAATTTATTGTTGAATTTTTAACATTTTTAGCGGAAGCATTATTATTATTATTACTATAAAAAAAAGTCATAATAGTAATAATGAAGAGTGTATAGAGCCAGAGTGTTGGGATAAAAAGCAACAATAATAAGATGGAATAAAAGTAGTAATAAAATAATTGTAATAATGAAGAATGTATAGAGCCAGAATGTTGGGATAAAAAGCAACAATAATATGATGGAATAAAACTAGTAATAAAATAGTAAAAATAATAAATATACTTTATGAATATAAAATAAAAATTCTATTAATGATAAACTATTAAATTTTCTTTTGGCAAGTATTCTCACAATTGAATGTTTCTTTTTATATCTGTCTATATTTCTGAGATGAAGCATTGTAATTATTTACACTATTTACATTCTCCAAATTGTTGTCCTTATCTTTATTGCCAAATTCACAATGTTTCTGTATACAAACAACACACATCAGAATGGGATCAGACATGTATCGACCAGATGAAAGTTTGGTGATGGGCTCACCCTTATCACCAACAATGGCAAACAGATACTTGGAATACTTCAAAGAAATGGTATTAGAATTCAAATCACTAAAGCCAACCCTATGGCTGAGATACATAGATGACACCTTCATACTCTGGCTACACCTGAAAAAGGCCAGAATGTACAACAGCCGGAATGTCATGAATAAGGCAAAAAAAGATGAGGACAACAATATGAACAATGTAAATAATGTAAATAATTACAATAACACATCTCAGAAATATAGGCAGATCCTGAAGAAGGCCGGAGCATACAACAGCCAAAATGCCACGGATATGGCAACAAAGATGAGGACAACAATCTGAACAATGTAAATAGTGTAAATAGTTACAATACATCATCTCAGAAATATAAACTGTGAATATAGCAATAAAGATGAAGACACCAGTCCAAACAATACAAATATTGTAAATAATTGCAATACGTCATCTCAGAAATATTAACCTATCTTAAAGAAGGCCAGAGCATACAACGGCAGAAACATTGTGAATATGAAAATAATGATGAGTACAACGGTCCAAACAATGTAAACAGTGTAAATAATTACAACACCTCATCTCAGAAGTATAGACAGATACTGATGAAGACTGGAGCATAGAATGGCCAAAAAATCATGAATATGACAACAAAGATGAGGGCAACAGTTCAAAGAATGTAAATAGTGTAAATAGTTTCTGTTTATCTTTTCTTTTTCTTTTTTTCATTGGAAGCCTCAGAATTATTAAGTTATGAGATCACTTACCAATTATGACAATAAATATTTCAATCCTTTTGTCAATATCACAATATTTTCTACTTAATATCAAACCATGGCAAACATTGCATTATTATTCCACAATTCTGAGCACGCTAGTCAAAATAATATAGATTTGCCTGAATTTTATTTTGTTGTGCTTATTTTTTTGTGGTTTTATAAGCATCCATGTTGTATACTTTATCCATTTTTTGCTTTTTATTCTCTTTAATTCAAGCACACATATCTAATTCCCTTTTCAAATACACTTTTTTTAACCTTTTGACAGCAACTTTTATTCATTTTCTTATATTTTTTATAAAACATAATGACTCCACTTTTGAACTTGGCAAAATCTTTGAAAAAGCTTATCAAACTAAGAACAAAATATTTAAAGACAAATAATTCAGTGGGAATAAAAACTGATAGATTTTTTTTTAATTCAAAACTAAATAATATATTTACAGAAACTTTTAAAATCTAAAATTATTCGCCATATTACAAAAGCTGTTGGATAAATTAATAATTCAGTCAAAAGTGCCCAATAAGTTTTTGCTATGTTTATTTCGCTTATATGCATTATTTAGTTATTTTGGACACCATTTGTTATATATGTAGAGGAGGTTGTAATGAACAGTTCTCGCCATAGATTAGATATCATTTATTTGTATGTGAAAGCTAGTACACATAACAAGACTTGGCCAGTAAGGTCTTCCATATAAAAACATTTGTATACAAGCTTTTTCTGTTTTATGTGCAAGCTAGAACATATAAAAGTATTTGTATGAAATATTTAGCTCGTAATGATTTCCATTTCAAAAATCTTAATATTAGATGTGGGAGCTTGCATACATGACAACACTTGTATTAAATAGTTACCCAGTCAGGCTGTCCATATAAAACATTAGTTTACAATATGTTTTTTTATATGTGGGAGCAAAAACCCATAACAGTATTTCTACTAAATATTTAGCTAAACTGACCTTCCATATAAAACATTAGTTTACAATCTCATTATTTTATGTGGGAACAAGAACCCATAACAATATTTATACTAAATATTTAGCCAACTTAGTCTTCCATATAAACATAAGGTTAGAGTCTTTTTTTTTTATATGTGGGAGCAAGAACACATAATAATATTTATACTAAATATTTACTCAGTAAAGTCTTCCATATAAAAAATTAGTGTACCATCTCTTTATGAAAATTGAGATTTAATGTGTTTGAAATTGATATGTTATGCCATAATAATCTTGTTATGCAAATCAGGATTTACTTAACAAAAATTATGTTTTATGTCATCTTTTAGCTTTCTAGGGATTCAATCAAGTTATTGCATGCTACAAGTGGTAAAATTTAATCAGTTTTCCACAAAATCATTTTTTCACCATAACACTTGTAAATATCTAAGATGTAATGACAGTAGGACATGATGGTAGACCAGATATGAGTTTTCATTCTGATCGTTGTGTGTTTCAGTGTCTATGTTTTCATGTTAGAAATGTTCTGCTTCGTTCATGTAAGTGCCTGCTGTAAGTGTTTCTCTTTCTTGCAAATATGTATGAAAATTAGAAATTGGACTGTAGATCCAATTCAACTTCACAAAAACAAAAGGCTTTACCAAATAACAAACACCACAGTACTCAAAGAGCTCCAACAGCAGCAACCAAACAAAATGGATGGCACATGGAACTAAAAGGCAAGATATTAACTTTCCACACTACCTTAAACAAAAGATTGTAAGGAAACATCCAACAATATTAGAAATATTTAATAAACTTGAAAAGACTAATTTCCTAAAAAACTTTCTTAAAAAAGATTTTATAAATTTAAATCAACAATAATATTAATTATTCTGTCAGTGAATAGCAAATGGTTTGTGTTTAATTTCTATGGAAGGTTAATTTTGCTATTACCTTACTGTGGTATTTTATATTTTCAGTTTAATTTTTTTTAACATATTAAATGCTAAACGACATGAATATTTTTATTTACTTTGTTTATAGGAGGAACAGTGGATTAATGGACTATATGAATTCATCTATTCTCCCCCACCAGATATGAGTAAATAGCAGGGTAAACTGGGGTTCTATAGCCTTGGGTGGCAATCAGTCTAGGAAGAGGAAAACTCTGAGTTCAAACCAGCTTGGAGAGAGTTGGGCTTTGTCAGGCTACCATACCCAAGACACACCAATTCAAGCTGCTGCAGTATGTGTGGTGCCTCTGTGACTCTAATGAGTTTCAGGACTCATGATTATGACATTCAGACTAATGTCTGTGTTCGTCTTGTCTGGTTTTCACACATCTGCATGTTGAGAGCGCCTCTCTCCACTGAGAAAAAACACTGGTGTAATATAACTCTCCCAATCCCAGACCCACGCTGACTATTGGTTAATAGCTGCCTAGTACCATTCATATGCAAATAGTCAGTACCACCTACTCTAAGTAGAAGGTCTTCTCTCAACAGCCAATTGTGGAAAGGGATGCAATTCCTAGTGCTTACAGCACCACATACAACCAACTTGGAGTCTTTTATTGGGCTAACCCAATTCTATGTTACAATGTCCTCATCTTAGTTGTTATAATTCCAATATTTCAGCCGCTATGGTCTCCAGCCTTCTTTAGGTATCTGTTGATATAAGTAACCTTCATGGAATTTCAAACTGAACATTTTATTTAATCTACAAAGATAGATTTTTCTTGTCCCACTATTCATATCTAGGGATCACTCACCTAGAGAAGTAAAGTGTTGGATTCTGAATTTAATGGCATAGTAATTCTGAGTTCAATCCTTGGATCAGGTAGTACGGACATAGACTCAGTGAAAACAGGACAAAGCAGTAATTGAGCAATACTAAATAAAAACAAGAAAAGATATCCCTAGACATGGAGACTTATGGCTACACTAGTTCTCATATGATCACCAAAGTTAAGCAATGTTGAGCCTGGTCAATACCTAGATGGGTGACTGCTTGGAATGATGAGGTGCTGTAGTTGATAATGGCTTTGAATTGTTAATCAGAGAGCCAAGTTCCAATTCCTATTGAGTTCATTGTATTCACTTACAGGCAAATACCCTTGGGAAAGGTATGAATCCACCCCTCCAACTATGGGTCAATCAGTAAGATGTATCACTAAACCATTAATATCTCAAAAAGACAAAAGAAAGATTCTTGCAAACTAAAACTATATTCTGGCTTTAAATAACCTGCAAAGGGTTGATAATCTATAGAAAATGAATGAATCAATCAACACTAGACATGGATTGTGGAACGAGCACAATCTAACCTCACAGATTAAATAAAGAATTCAGTTCTGAAGGGGTTACTTATTGTTGTGGAGTGATTTCACAGTGGAGGCAAGTATTTGTATTAAGTCAGTTCTAAAATAGGTTTGATGCACAAAACGTTAGAAACGTGATATAATAGGTATAATGCAGAGTAATCTAGTTGTGGTCGCTGATACTTTAGTATTTGACTAACGGTCGTCCGGCATCGACTGACTAACCGCCTCACTGAGCGACTTCCTCGTTACTCTTACTACTCCTACTTATTATAGGTGGGAGAGTCTATTAACTATAGAATAGGTGTGTTCCACTATAACACTTATATTGATAGACACCTAATGAAGGACGGAGAGCACAACAGCCTAAATGTTGTGATAACAACAAAAATAAGAACATTAGTTCGAATGTAAATAGTATAAATAAGGATAACTCCTTATCCCAGTAATTCAAATAGAAATGAATATTTTACGGCCTTACAAATTAACTGCCAAATGAAGTTAATTATGTAACATTCCCTTTCTTGAAATTCACTCCTTGTCTTCATTTTGTTCTTCCTACATTACTATGATTACTATCTGCTTTCCAGTGGTGCTGTTTAGTTTTCCGGAGAATCCTTCAACAAACAAATCATTGATACTGATGGTTTAGTGAGTGAAATTCATCAATAAAATTACATATTTTTACTTTAGTCACCTAGATTCTTCCCAGTATTTTCATAATCTACTAAGTGTCTGTCACGTTGCGCCAAACATTCATCTCTTTATATGAAACATGCATTTATGGGCAAACTTGGAACTTCATGCCCACAAAAAAACAGTGTCAAGATGCTAGTTTTTATTTTAACTACCTTCACTCTCCTTTAGCAATGTTTATTGTTTTAAAAAGCAATGATTAAAATTGTAATATAACCTTGAGAATGACAGCTAAAATATTAAACACTATTTATTTATTGTTTACTTACAAGAATAATTTTATATTCACAACATTCTAAAAACTAATGTAATGACAAAAATACGCAGGTGTAGGCTTTAATCATCTTTACCATTTTTATAAGGTTTTAATCATTTGGCAATTAAGTAGCCAATGTTTTGCCAAATATTCCAACTAGGCACCGCCATTAATTCGGTATACCTAAGGTTTAAATGAATTTTCATAAATTAAAAATTTTTCTTGAATCTTTTATTTTAGCTTCAATTGAAAGCAAACGTATCAAATTTGCGATTTCCAGTGAGCAAAATACTCTCTAGTGGAATTCAAACAGAAACTCTATTGGTTGGAGTCGATTCATTTTGGGGGGTTAAAAATACCTGATTAGTGCCCTTTTTTAGACATCTGTCATCACAATGAATTTTTCTTTATTAAAAAATCTTCCAAAAATAAAATATACTTTTCTGAAACTTTATTTGAGGCATATTAGCTGATTTAAAGTATAATTAATCTTATTTAAAATAAATATTATTTATTTTAAGTTAAAAATAACAGAGAAGTAGATTTTTAAAACAAACAGTAGCAGTGATCAAGTGATTTATGAGGTGTTGACACTTTTATTATTGTTCTACAGAGACCTTATCTGTTAAAATATAATTTAAGAAAATGATGGGTAAATGCTTTTTTATATAATTTTTAAGTACTCAGTAATTGTAAAAATGATGGAAATATTCTCCATGATCTAATTTTAAGAATGTTGACTTTAAATTTACTATCATGATCGATCTTATTTTCTGATGTCATACTGTACTTTGAAAATTGGCACGATTATACGCATAAAAAAAATTAAATATTATTTTTTAAAATATACAGGTGTTATGATTTGTAATAAGTTTTTCAGTTTTTACTTAGTAAATATAGTCTTCACTTAACCTAATGAGGACGAAGTTTGGAAGAATTTTTAAAACTTTATAATTATTATAATTACAAAAAATGAAAATCATTCTTGTAAAAATTCATTATTTATCAAAAAAATATTTTTCTTCAGTCTATAATGTCCTTATTTACAAAAACAATTAAAGATTATCTAATTAAATAATTAGATAGTTTGATTGCAGTTTTTATTTTAGGATTCAGAGAAGATTTTAGGGAAAATAGCAATAGTTTGAAAAAAAGAGATGATTTACATTCTCTAAGGGGTCCTGCTTTTAACCAATAAAAAAATTAGAATACAAAATTTAATTTCTAGAAATTTCATGAAATTAATTAAGTTGGGGGTAAGAGATGTGAAAAAATTTCTTTTTTTTTACCAAGATTTTCTAAAAATAATAATTTAAAAAATAAATTCATTAATTTGTAAATAAGTTCTGAAAGTTTCATTAAAATCCAACAATTATTTGATTTTTGCAAGACTTTCCAAATTAATATGTTATTTTGCATTGCCAGTTATGTTTTACACCGTTGAGGCATAAAAAAAGATTTTTTTATTTTAACCATAATTTCGAATGTGTTAGCAAGGAGTAAAAAAAAATTAAAAAATGCTTTAGCCTTTCCTCTTAATAAAATAACATACACATTCTGATGATAAAACTGTTTTTATTAAGTTTGAGGCTTTTTTTCATCATGCTATACTGTTTTTTGTGGGGTGGGGTCAGCAAATTAGTGGAATAAACAATAGTGTAAAAGTAAAAAATAATCTAGTGTTTAATTATTTTTGTTGTCAATTCTCATTGATTTATTCCAATTCTAATCATCACTTTTTAAAACAATAAACACTGCCGAGGAGTGAAGGCATTTAAAATAATGATAAATTTTCATTTTAACACCCAAGCGCTAATATCCCTTCAAATTTTTCCAAAATAGTCTTATTTCTATGCAAATGTATATGCTGAACTCAAATCAACAATTAGATATTGAAGAAACCTGCCTTTCTGGATGTTAATGACCCCAAAAAAATCTGACTTTTTCCTGGTCTTTTGTCAGCCATTACCAGCTTATTGATAAGTAATTCAGTGCTGAATTTTGTTGGTGGATTTATACAATTTGGGCCTGATTTACTTCCTATACAGTAATTCCTTGTAGAAATTAGTATGCGCTTCCATAAAGTTTTTTTTTTTTGTATTTAATTTAAAAAGAAAGTTAACTTAAAATATATGTAAACATCGACAAATAAAAGAATAAAAAATTAATTTTTTTTTACAAGAAAGTTAACTTTCAAATTAGGGTTAGGTGGTTTTTCATTTTGTTTTTTTATTTTTGAAATTTAATTTTCAAATTAATTTTTAGGTGTATTTTTTTTTCTTTTGTTATTCTTTTATTTGTCGATGTTAATATATATTTGAAAGTTAACTTTCTTGTTAAATTAAGAACAAAAAATTCACTTTACGGAAATTTTTTTTAATTTCTGAAAGAAAATAGTTCAGCAATAAATGACGCTTTTCTTTTTTTAAATGAAAATTTACCAATTCTTTTATTTTAATTTATCAATAGGAAAATTTAAAATTGAAACACCGTTTTTTTTTGGGGGTATAATATTTTTTTTCATTTCATAAATATCATAATTCCAAAAATGGATTTATATTGAGTAAAAGCTGCTGTTAAACTACACTTATTCTCCTCCTCCTTTTATACAGTATATTCGCACTAAATATCTGAGGTAGGTGGTCCACCGAAGATCAAAGTTCACCTCACAAAATTTAAAAACACTTTCCTCGCACTCTTGGTTCTATAATCTAACCAGCAATATTACTGTGAATTGAAACCTCAATCCAAAAATTGCCATAAACCTCACCTAGTGTTTTTGTTGCATTTACCTTATATACTCGCATGTATAATACGAGAGCAGTTTGTTTTTTTTTTTTTTGCTTTTTTACGCAAAAAATAAGGGTTCGCACTATATACACAGGTTTTTTGTTTTGTTTTTGAAGAGGTTAAAAATCATGCATTTTTTAGGTGACCGGCTGCACTATACATACAAAGGTAAAATATTTTCTTGCGAGGTTTGTTAAAAATAAAATTCATGCAAAAAATTCAGGGGTTGTACTACGGGAAGTTGCTTTATACACGAACACAAGTATATATGGTATTTATTATTATTGGTATTATTAACAGCACACCAACAAAATGATTAAAAAATTGATTCATGAGAAAATGGAAACAAGGGACAATTATTCATGTTTTGTGAAAAAAAATATTTTGTATCGAAGAAAAATTTAATTTTAAATTCTGTTTTATCTATAAGAAAATAAATCAACAGAAAAGTATAATATGTCTGCAAAAACTTTTTTAATCCTGTTTATTTTTACGATTACTTTCAAAATGGAGAAAATGAAATGTAAAGAAAGAACGTTGGAAGTGTAAATTCAACAAGGGGGATAACTCTAAATTGTCTATTTTCCTGGGAGGTAACTTTAACAGTTTTTTTTTTAATCTGCTTTCTGAAGTACACGGGTAAGGATTTTATTAAGTCGAGGCGATCTTTCGTTTTATGTTAGTAAATCCATGAAGCAAAAGAAATCTATTCCCAAATATCAAATTAAAACATTATCAAAGGCATCTGTTTTTTTTTTTTTGTTTGATAGTTTTTTGTTTTTTTTAATCTATATTTTTTTGGTCCCGATGATGCAGAAGGTCGTTTTTTTTTTAATGTGGATGTTTTGCTTCGGTTAATTGTTGCCACTAAAACCAATTTGGGGGCTAGTAGTGATGATATTCACCTACCGCCCCCCCTGCGGATGGATGCGGCACAAGGCCAAGGAAATTTGTTTCTGTGTGTATCAG